ACATACATACATACATACATACATACATACATACATACATACATACATTACATACATACATACATACATACATACATACATACATACATACATACATACATACATACATACATACATACATACATACATACATACATACATACATACATACATACATACATACATACATACATACATACATACATACATACATACATACATACATACATACATACATACATACATACATACATACATACATACAATACATACATACATACATACATACATACATACATACATACATACATACATACATACATTACATACATACATACATACATACATACATACATACATACATACATACATACATACATACATACATACATACATACATACATACATACATACATACATACATACATACATACATACATACATACATACATACATACATACATACATACATACATACATACATACATACATACATACATACCTACATACATACATACATACATACATACATACATACATACATACATACATACATACATACATACATACATACATACATACATACATACATACATACATACATACATACATACATACATACATACATACATACATACATACATACATACATACATACATACATACATACATACATACATACATACATACATACATACATACATACATACATACATACATACATACATACATACATACATACATACATACATACATACATACCGTACATACATACATACATACATACATACATACATACATACATACATACATACATACATACATACATACATTACATTACATTACATTACATTACATACATTACATTACATTACATTACATTACATTACATTACATTACATTACATTACATTACATTACATTACATTACATTACATTACATACATACATACATACATACATACATACATACATACATACATACATACATACATACATACATACATACATACATACATACATACATACATACATACATACATACATACATACATACATACATACATACATACATACATACATACATACATACATACATACATACATACATACATACATACATACATACATACATACATACATACATACATACATACATACATACATACATACATACATACATACATACATACATACATACATACATACATACATACATACATACATACATACATACATACATACATACATACATACATACATACATACATACATACATACATACATACATACATACATACATACATACATACATACATACATACATACATACATACATACATACATACATACATACATACATACATACATACATACATACATACATACATACATACATACATACATACATTACATACATACATACATACATACATACATACATACATACATACATACATACATACATACATACATACATACATACATACATACATACATACATACATACATACATACATACATAACATACATACATACATACATACATACATACATACATACATACATACATACATACATACATACATACATACATACATACATACATACATACATACATACATACATACATACATACATACATACATACATACATACATACATACATTACATACATACATACATACATACATACATACATACATACATACATACATACATACATACATACATACATACATACATACATACATACATACATACATACATACATACATACATACATACATACATACATACATACATACATACATACATACATACATACATACATACATACATACATACATTACATACATACATACATACATACATACATACATACATACATACATACATACATACATACATACATACATACATACATACATACATACATACATACATACATACATACATACATACATACATACATAACATACATACATTACATTACATACATACATACATACATACATACATACATACATACATACATACATACATACATACATACATACATACATACATACATACATACATACATACATACATACATACATACATACATACATACATACATACATACATACATACATACATACATACATACATACATACATACATACATACATAACATACATACATACATACATACATACATACATACATACATACATACATACATACATACATACATACATACATACATACATACATACATACATACATACATACATACATACATACATACATACATACATACATACATACATACATACATACATACATACATACATACATACATACATACATACATACATTACATACATACATACATACATACATACATACATACATACATACATACACATACATACATACATACATACATACATACATACATACATTACATACATACATACATACATACATACATACATACATACATACATACATACATACATACATACATACATACATACATACATACATACATTACATACATACATACATACATACATACATACATACATACATACATACATACATACATACATACATACATACATACATACATACATACATACATACATACATACATACATACATACATTACATACATACATACATACATACATACATACATACATACATACATACATACATACATTACATTACATACATACATACATACATACATACATACATACATACATACATACATACATTACATTACATTACATTACATTACATTACATTACATTACATTACATTACATTACATTACATTACATTACATTACATTACATTACATTACATTACATTACATTACATTACATTACATAACATTACATTACATTACATTACATTACATTACATTACATTACATTACATTACATTACATTACATTACATTACATTACATTACATTACATTACATTACATTACATTACATTACATTACATTACATTACATTACATTACATTACATTACATTACATTACATTACATACATACATACATACATTACATTACATTACATTACATTACATTACACATACATACATACATACATTACATACATACATACATACATACATACATACATACATACATACATACATACGAGAGAGGGAGATTGGGGAGAGAGTGGCTTGGGGGGATGGGGAGGATGGGGAGCGGAGGGAGGGAGAGAGGACGACAGAACACACCAGGGAGACAAGGGAGAGAGGAAGAAGGAGAAAAGGGAGAGGACAATGTCGGCGGACTGAGCCGGAGGCTCTAAAGTATTAAAAAAAAAAAAAAAAAAAAACGTAAGCTAAACATAAAATAGAAATACGTAAATAAATAGACCAATGAATAAACAAATGTGCAAACAAACAAACAAAAAGCAAATCAACGAATGAATGTACAAATCGCTTTGTAAGTACATAACATAACATACATATGCATATCTATATATATATTATGTATGTATGTCTACATGAATATATAAATGAAAAAGTTGATACATATATACACAAGTTGCAAAAACAAAAACTAAAATGAACAATACATAAATGAATAAATGAACACATCAAAACTGATGAACAAATGAATAAATTATTATTTGAGTAAAGGGAACAATACGAATAACTCAACAAATATAAAGACACCACATGTGATACAACGACAACCTGCCCAACAAGGACTGCTTGCCCGTGTCACTGCCGTGACAACGTCCTTTGGGCTGACCAGGCAGGCTGAGGTGTTTTTTTTTGAGCATAGCCCTGGCATCAGCCTAACCCTGGCACAGCCTGGCGTGCACGAAGGGAGACACTAACGGATAGGGAAGGTTTGGGGTAGTCCATTTGGGATAGGTTCAGGCCCGGCATCGTTTTAACATCCTCAGCATCGTTTTCAACATCCTCAGCATCACCAGGTTTTGGTTTAGGCTGGGTTTAGGGTGGGTTCCAGGTTGGCTCAGGGTCGGCTCTCGATGGGTTCCAAACCTATTGAGAGCAAATTTGGGGGTGGCTATGCTTGCAGCAGATGGTTTAGTGCTGGTTTATGGTGGGGCTTCTTGGGGTTGGTCTCGGGTAGGTTTAGGGCTGGTTTCGGGTGGGTTTAAAATTGGCTGCAGCCATGGCTTTGCTTAAGCCCACTTTGGATGTTAAAACCTAAACCCACCCTGAACCCATCCCAAACCTTTGTCCCACCGAGCCCCCGACCAACCAACCACCCACCCACCCACCAACCAACCAACCAACCAACCAACCAACCACCTGCCAGGGTTAGCCCTGTGCCAGGGTTAGCCCTGTGCCAGGGTTAGCCCTGTGCCAGGGTGAGCCCTGTGCCAGGGCTAGGCAAAAAAAACTACCCTTTCCACACAGGCAGTCTCGACAAAATAAATGAGTAAACATATAAATATATGAACAAATGAATAAGCAAATATAGTAATAAACAAATGAATAAAGGAGAAAGTAAAATGAATGAGAAAAACCATGAATCAATGAACAGACACATTAACAACAGAACATGTACAAAGACAAACACAACTCATTGACGAACAACCGTGACCACAAAAAATGGTAAGTTAAAAAAAATGACGATACACACATACGTTGTACATACATTAAGTAGTTGCTTAATGAATTAAATTAAGCAATTAAGAAACATGTGCTAAAAAACCAAATGAGTTAATTTGCTCATGAATGACTTTATATACATATATATATATATATGTATATATATATATATTAATTGGATATCAATATACAAATGAATAGATCAAAAGACAAAAGGCTAAACATAAACATAAAGAATAAGAGTAAACAACAATGCTTCCATACATATGTAATATGTGTCCCGTGTTCTGTGTTGCTCCCCCCTCCCCACCCGTGTGGTCCTGTGGGGTTGCAGTGGCTTGGGATTGGTGGTTTGGGGTAGGGTGAGGGTTGGCTGATTGGTTTCGAAGTTGACTCGCGGTGCTAAGCCCCTGGCGCGCGGCTCCGCTTCTTCCGTGCCCGCTCACTGGCGATGCGTGCGAGGTTTCAGCACTGAAGACCAAAGCTTTGGTCGTTTTGGGGGACGCTCACAGTCACACAAATCGATTTGTGCAACTGCATGTTCAAACCGGAAGCCTCACTTGCCGTCAAGCCTGATGCCTAGTGGAAAGTGAAGCCTAGAGGAGGAATGCTCCAAGGTTACTTCTATAAGGTGAATGCCGGGCGATTCGAATCGCTCTTTGCACAGGAAATGCATAACTGACATGGTGTTTTCACAGGACGGACAAGCATTCTAAAGCACTTCCGAAGTGTGTGCAGCGGGAATGCAGAAGAGATCCCGTGGAATCCAATACCCCGCAAACTGTTCCGAGGTTGGCAGCGCCAAGCAGATTCGCCCATGACGAGTTCCTCCCCACTCTGTCCCCCTCCCCCTGGGCCCCCGGCTAGATCTCCTGGCGGACTAGGCTGGGACAAAGGCTGTTGCCAAAGCTTTGGATGCCAGCAAAAGTCCATCCACATGCATGTATCGGGCCCATAGTGTTTTCCACAGATGAATGTGTCCTTTGTTGCTCCTCTGCGATCAAACATGCGCTGCTTCACTCTGGATGGTCACTGGACATGGCCCCTGTCACTTTCAGCGACACAAGAGGGAACCTCTGTCCCCAAACGGCAAAAAAAGCAAACCTGACAACATGTCGCCACCAAACTGCTGTAACTGCAAAAAACGCATAGCTGCAGCGGCACATACATCCACACGGATAGATGGACGTTGCAGTCGTCAATCAAAAACAATTTGTATTGCAGATGCCGCTCTTTGAGCCCCTGACATGGGGATTGCAGGGAAGCAGAAAAACAACGATTGAAGCCATCACATCGGGCAACGATTGTACCCTCGGGTGCAAGCTGAGATTCGTTCTGGCAAGGTGTAGATAAACAATCAACACGGCAATGCACACAAGAAGCAACTCACACATCGCTGAACGAGCATCACGGATGAGGGACTCATCAGGGTGAAAACTCCACTGGGCAAAACTTACACTCCTGATCATGAAAAACCCGAACACGCAATTCCTTCTTCGAGTCATCTCCTTGGGGTTTTGCTCTTGGTTTCAAAATGTGGAATGTGTGCAGAGGAGTCTCGGGGCCCGTCCTTCTCGAGATCCTCCATCTCGGCCTCCAGGCGCTGGGTGCTGAACCGCAAGTTCTCCTAGCCGGGGTCGCTAGCACGTGCGGGCCACACAGACGTGGGAGGTTCTCAAAATGGGTTTGGGAGCAGTTTGGGCTGGTATTCGAAGGAAAACCAACATAAAACCAGCCATAGAGGGCCAAATACAAATTCTGAGAAGTTTCCGTACCAAGTGTGCTTGCACCAGGTACCATCCTACAAGTCTTGAGCCAACGGGGAAAAAGTCGGGGCGGTTTACCACCCTCAAAGTCACTGCGGTCTGACTAGAGAATCATTTTTCCTATACCTCCAACAAACACTTGATACACAAAATGTCAGGGCGCCCAAGCCACAGACCCTTTTGGATCGAAAAAGACGACGGCCATGAGTCGCAGCATTCGAGTGATCCAGCTGGCTCTCTGAAAGCCACCTTCTTCTCCAGGTCCGGCTTGAGCTCCCCCAGGCACCGCGACAGCTGATCCAAGTGCTCCTAAAGCGCAACGCGAGAGCAAGGCAAGGCATGGGACAAAGTCCTCTACCCAAACGCAACCGGTCCTAAGGCTACCAAGATTGACTAAACCCTGGACGAAACAGGCGACTGAACGACGGCCTGGTTCAACTCTTTAGAAGAGGAGGGGGTGGTTGGTTCAATTGCCACCTTTGTTTTGGAAAGAAGGACCAACTATATCGGCTCGCGTGTGATTGCAAACTGGTCGACAAAACTTGATCCCGGTCGGGTATGATGTTTTAGTCTCAAATGGGTGGAACAGGTCCCTGTATTTGCTGGAATTTACGCTCGAGAAGCAGCAAACAGCACCTGCAGGCCCACCGCACCATGTTTGGGGCTAGTCAATATCTGAGTTGATCTACCTCCAGTCAAAGCTGGTCATTGTTTCAAGACAGTCTGAATCATAGCCCGAAATGGTTGGAGGTTGGTCACTCAAGCTGCCAGGTAGTCTGTGATGACCGCTCTCAATTGCCGAAGGGGTTGAGTTGGTCAATATTGGAGGAGGAGCACGTTCCAACTTTTGAAGTGCATGCATTGCTGCTGTCCTCTTTGGTCCCCAACAGCAACAACTGCCACCAGAAACTGACGGTCCCCGTCACTCGCCAAGATCTAAACCAAACATTCATCAACATTCACCAGCAACCAATGATAACTGCCAGCACTATCAACCACACCTGCCCGCTACCACTACCAACAATAACTGCTTACCAACATCTACCAACAACTACACACAACCACCCACAACCACCCACAACCACCCAACTCAACAATGATTGGAAACACGCGATCACGCATCATGTAGAAGCATACAACCAAAGGCACAAAACACCAATACATGACAAAGCACGACAAGACGTCAACCAACACAAACCCCAACAGAAACTGAGAACATCAACATCCACTAACGTTGAAGGAATGTCAAAATGGAAAGGAAATTGTTTTTCTTGTTTTTTCAAAACAAAAGAAAAACATGAAACAAATAATCATACCAATAACAACCATAATAATGAGTATGCAACACTTCCGCTTTTTGACTCGACGAAATCGAGCCAACCTGCGCCAGCTGCTTGGGCTCCAGAAGCCCTGCCAGGTTGGCCTCCAGCTCCTCCACCTGCTGGTTCAGGGCGTCCAGCTCCGCCTGACGGCTGACGTCTGCCAAGTCCAAGCCCGCCCAGAGGCGCGACGAAAGCAACGCTTTCCGTGGGCATAGGTGTCCTTTTTTGGAAAATAGATGGCCCTGGTGGATGATTGAACCACCAGGTAAATGATTTTTGGAAGCAAGACAACCAAAAAGGACACCTCTGCCCACTGGTTGTTGGGCTTGGCTTGGCTTGGCTTTGCTTGGCTTTGCTTGGCTTTGCTTGGCTGGTTTGATCCCCGTGCCATTGCCCGTTTTACCAGCTTTGAAGACACCCCATGCGCACAACAAGCCACCTGCGACCAGTTTGCTTGGCTGCCTGTCGTGCTTCTTCTTTGCGCAAAGCTGAACCTGCTTGATTGTAGCGAGGGTCCAAGAACAGGTGGGAAACACTGTTTTTCCTCCTTGCCTGTAGAACAAGTTGAGCAAAACCCTGGTGAGGGTGATCATGAGTGATGTTCGACGGCTGAGAGCCAAGCCGGTCATCGGCACAAAGGCCGTTGAACGGGTTTAGCTCAATCAACCTGGGGGGCTTCTCAACATGGTGGACCCCGCCGTAATCGGATGGTAGCTAAAGAGAAACCCAGAGCGGCGAAGACTTATGAGCATCACACGCTTCATTTCAAGCCCCATTCCCTTGAAGCTTTTTCGAGCACGCCTAAGCGCTCCAAGACACAAGAGAAGGAATCACTGCGGCTTTCACACCGTACTACTGTTTGCCGGTCGGCAGAACGTCCATCTGTTGGCTGGTTCCTACTTTCTAAGAACAGAACCAAAAGATCAAGATCACACAATCCAAACATCAACGCGTGCACACGCACACGCACACGCACACGCACACGCACACGCACACACGCACACACGCACACACGCACACACGCAACACGCACACACGCACACACGCACACACGCACACACGCACACACGCACACACGCACACACCCACACACACCCACACACACACACACAGGCACACACACAGGCACACGCACACCCGCACACCCGCACACCCGCACACCCGCACACGCGCACACCCGCACATCCGCACTCGCAGACACGCACACACGCACACACACACACACACACACACACACACACACGCCCACACACACACACACACCAACAGAGAAGGGAAAAACAAGCCCCCCGTTAGCAAAGAGCTCCCCCTTTCCTGAGCGCTTCTGCCTCTGGCCCGGCCTCCAGCTGCGCCTGCTCTTGAAGCCACGGGTCGTCCTGCTGGACGGGGGCCTGTCGCGCCGATCTTCCCCACTGGTCGGGCAAGTTCGCCAAATGGGTGTGGGTCAAAAATGGGCACCCCAAATGGAACCCTAGTAAATGAAAACAGGGACTAAAACCTGCGGTCCCCTAGTAAATTAATTTTGACCCATACCCAAGTCCAGTGCTGGCAACGAGTTCTCACCCGAAGTCTGCCGAGGTCCACAGTGCCTGGTGAAAACTCTGATGGGAGATAGTCTGCGAAGCCTTGTCATCTCCAAGTTGCTGAGGTGTTTCAACCGCTCGCGCAATCTACCCCAAACAAGTATGACGCGCGCGCGTTTTTACTCGCCGACGCTTTGGCAGCTCAGCACAAACCAGTGGCCTGTGGCAAGCATGAAATCCAAATCCTCTCTCGGTAAGCCTCAGTGTGAGTGAAGCCTCTAGCACTCTGGCCGGCCGCTTTTTCCAGCCACACGCGCCGCGCCCGAACTGCCAGCTGCTGCTACCTCACACTGGTGGTAGTCCACAGCGCCTTAGGCAAATGCCAGGAGAAGCGGGAAATGAACACCTCACCCTGCCCCAGAAGAATGGGAAAGTAGCGAGAACAGAATTCGCTTTCACCATCCTGAGAAAATTTGGATTTGAAACCCTAACAGTTTGCTTGGAAGAACGTGTATGTCCATTGCCAGACTGGACACTGCAATCAGACTGCTATGTCCTTGCTTGATTCCTTTGACATCAAGCCACCGCCCTTTCAAAGCGCAAGCCTGGCGCAGACTGTGAACATATTGATGGCTTTGAGGGAATAATCAAAAGCAACTGCGCGGAACTGACTGGGGTTTGGCTCGCCGCTGAGATGCCCTGGATTGTGCGGACAAGCAGAACTTCCCAAGACCCGACATGCGAAAGCGCCTGTAGATCTCTGCAGAAATGCGGTCATAAATCTGCTTCGCCCGGGGCTGCTTTGTCGGGAAGGAGTGGCCCTCCTCGTGGGTGAAGATCAGCGGATCCACATAGTACTCCTCAAGCTTGCCCAAGCAAAGTCCAAGGATAACAAAAGTGTTTGCCTGACATGTCAGAGCGGTCTGCGATGACAACTATTGTAAATAGAGCTGTTGGAAAAAACAAGTTGTACGAAGAGCCCAGTAGAAAGAAACGAAGCGTCAATTTGCTGTTTCCCAGTAGGGAATAGCAGCGGCAGCAGCAGGCAGCCTCTTAAATCAGTTCATTGTGCTCCTCCTGTGGCTTGTAACCAAAGCCGTCCCTGCCGTAGTCGTAGAACTCGTCCTGCTTGCCGAACACGTGAACCTTGGGCAAGGGGCGCATGACGGCTCATGCTTCGGAGCTTCCAAATGATAGACATCTCACCCTCGAACCCAGAAACAAACAAACAAACAAACAAACAGACAAACAAAGAAACGCAAAGAAACACCGAGACAAGCGAGCACACAGAGACACCTATTCTTCAACCCATGGCCGTAGATTCAAATGAGCGCAGCCTCCTGAATCCAGGGAGGAACCCCACCAACGCGGCACGCATCCCAAGGAGCAGAGCTGGGCCCGGAAAGTCCCAAGTCAGGATGAGCCAAGCAGGCAAAAAGATCCAAGAACCAGTAACACGGCTGTGCGGATCCTGGAAAATCAGGATTCGAGTTTCCCATGGACGCCCACAGTGGCAGTCTCCATTCAAATCCCCCGGTCCCAACCACAAGTCGTTGGAAGCCGCCCCTCTCAGTCAGATCGGCCAATCGGCCGTGGGATGCGTGGAGGGTGTCTCGAAGAGATGCATGTAGTCCTCAGCTGCGGGCTGCGGATCGGTCTGGGGTCTCTGGCTTCAAATGGATGTCCATATAAATCCACAAACAGCAGTACTTAGAAAATGAATATGACTGACAACCGATTCAACAACTGCCGAGTTGAGGATCTCAACAGGCAAGGGTCCTCAATCTCAGCGCCTGAAACACCAACCTCAGCCACTTGCAACGCTTCTCTCGGCGACTCAGCAGCCACTTCCGAGCCGGGGCAGAACCACAGGAGCTTGGAGGGGCTGATTTGTTCTCCATCTAGGGAGGTTTTCTCTGGTGCGCGAGGACATGAAAAGAGGGCGGCAGGGAGCTTTTGAGACTCAAAGGTCCCACCCTTACGGTAATCCGGCAGTCAACGCAACAGGAATGTGCGGACACAGGCGCTGTGTCACGGATGTGCATGCCGCAGAAGAAGACCTTGCCAGCCGAGCTATGTGAGACTTGAAACCAGTCATCGTTGGTTCTGGCTTTCGCAGTACCACCCAAAAAGGTGTTTCCCCGGAGCCCGCTAGCCGGTCTGCTTTTGACATGTATGTTGTGGTTGGCCCTATGCCCTGCTTCAGACAAGTACTTTCAGATCGAGGGGAGCTAAATCCGAATCTGCAACCACCAGCTTTATCTTTCAGCATGGAGACAGAAGGAAGGTGTCTTAACCACCATTCTCCAGCTCAGCGCAAGATTATAGGATTTCTCTCCGACCCTTCCCACATGGATGTACCATAGCACGTTGGACAAACTCGTCTGCCGCAGACTCTATGATATCAATAGATGTGTTGCCATGCAAGTCAAAGCCAAGCCCAAAGGTGTTCACATGTCAGGGATGTTGCACAAGGCTGGCATTCTCATGCCGGGATGTTTCCTGACTGGCCGACCCATCCCCATTTCTACGCTGACGCCCCCAAGCTAACTCTCTCACACAAATCACTTTGGCCAAGCCTAAGGGTCGCTCCCTGTTCACCCCCTTTTGAGGTCGAAGGGAAACCCAGAAACCAAAAGGAAAACTCGTTTTCTGGGTTCAAATCCCACAGCCAAGGAGCGCTCATGCGCCAGGGCATCTCCTCCTTGGAGTTCCGAGTGCAGTGCCAGCGCTTGCTGGGCACCTGCAAAGGGGTGAATCCTTCTTGGGCCACTCAAGTACATGCAACCTGCAGGTCTCCCAGATCTGGGCTCTAGTCACCAAAACCATGGGCCTCAGGCTCCATCCCCCGTGCCTGCGCCGCCAGATCCTCTTGGCGCAGATAGCCCACCAGAAGATGGGTCATAATGCAGCCCTAGGGCCGGACGTGTCAAGTGTGCCCGGTTTTGTGGGTGCCCTTTTCAGGTTGGTTTAAGGAGAAACCAACAGGAAGATCGGTACTTTGGCTTGGCCCTCTTATTTTCCAAACCCTTCCGTCTTGGTGGCCAAATGTGTGCGTTACCTCTCGAAGCACCCGATGCACCAAGCACCTTCCCGGTGGGCAGCTTTGGGCCATCTTGACGTGATATTATTGAGGACAGGGAACAAGCAAAGCAATCCGATCCGTGACCCGACGGGCGGAAACCAACAACAAGTGCAGAACAACCAAAGCTCTCGATGTGTTGTACAATCTGAATCTTGATCTCGCAGGCTCTCTTCATGTCAATAATTGTCCACAATTGCAAGGTGGACTTGCCTTGTCTACCAACTCTGGAATGCTCAAGCTCAATTCCAAGCATACAAACTTCTCAACAAATTGCTGTTGATATTGATGATCGTAATGGTTCATCATATTCTTCTATCATCAGCAGCAGCAGCAGCAGCAGCGTCATCATCATCGGCATCATCATCATCATCATCATCATCATCATCATCATCATCATCATCATCATCATCATCATCATCATCATCATCATCATCATCATCATCATCATCATCATCATCATCATCATCATCATCATCATCATCATCATCATCATCATCATCATCATCATCATCATCATCATCATCATCATCATCATCATCATCATCATCATCATCATCATCATCATCATCATCATCATCATCATCATCATCATCATCATCATCATCATCATCATCATCATCATCATCATCATCATCATCATCATCATCATCATCATCATCATCATCATCATCATCATCATCATCATCATCATCACCATCACCATCACCATCACCATCACCATCACCATCACCATCACCATCACCATCACCATCACCATCCCCATGATGATGATGATCATCATCATCATCACCATCACCACCATCGCCATCACCATCACCAACACCATCACCATCACCTCCACCATCACCTCCACTATCAGCACTACCAAACCAATCCTCCAAAACCCAAAAGTCCATGAAACCCGCTGCTCCCCTGGATGGGACCTCAATGGCCACTCCGGCTACAAACAAATTAGAGTTCGGACGAAGCACAATGTGTGCGCCTTGGTCACTCGAGTTCCGTTCATCACTTTTGCTGGGCAAGAAGACACATTCCAAGGAATGACATATGTCGCACATCCGAGCTTGCCGTTAAGAATCCATCTCAGCCCCCCCCTTCCCTGCTGCCCTCCTACGTCGCACTGACCTGCGGGTCGCAAAGGGCTTTCGCGCCTGAGAAAAGGCCACCAGCACGTCAAATGGCCCATCCTCTATAATTTGCTCCCGCAGTTTGGCCACCTTCTCCGGGATCTTGTGGTACCTAGTACTGACGAGCTGACGTCGAAGTTTATAAGCCGGGCTTGACCCTTTTCCGGCCGAGATCTCGAGAAATTGGGAATCCGAGAATCGAGAATCCACTAACCCAAGAACCCGAGAACCCGACAATCCGAGAACCCGACAATCCGAAAAATCCGAGAGCCCGAGAGCCCAAGAACCCAAGAACCCGAGAACCCGAGAATCCGAGAACCCGAGAACCCGAGAAGTCAAGAATCTGAGAATCGGTTTGGGCAGATCAGCCGTTGTCAGGTTCGATCTCCAAAAACTATCATCATCCTTTAAGAAGGGAGCCGGGAATATTGGTGCGCCCAGCAAGATGTACGTTCTGGGATACTCAGGAGCAAACGAGATACTCACCAAACTAGTGCTAAACATGCCAGGCACTCAACATATCACAGAACTCCCTCTCAGCGCAGAAAACCTACAAGTCAATGTCCGCCCAACGACAGCGGCGACTGAGAATGAAGGCCAAAGGCCTCCCTTGGGACTGCGGCACTCAAATGCTGCCCAGCCGCACGACACCTCAG